GCTGTGTACTTTCTCAGCCTGTGCACGAGATACATGACCGAGCAGTGTATTTATCCTGAGAGCTACAGAAACTCTGCAGAGCTCAGGTTGAGCGTGACAGYAAATGGGGTGCACCCTCAACAGATTTACAACCTTGTTTAAAGAAAGTGCACACCGTGGAATGCTGAGGGGGGGAAAAAACAGGGAAGGGCAGAGGAGTGGGTGTTGCTTCATTTTCACCTGGTTTGTAAAGGTAAAGCATACCTCAGGGTTTAATCGCAGATGTCTCATCTTCCAGCTCTCTTGAAGGAATGACGAAGAGGGTTATTTTAGTGAGTACAGACAGGCACGAGCACGGCATTTTCACACTACTACAGTGTGACCAAGCCCTGACGTGAGTCACTGAGGCATTAGTAAGTTAAATAATGCACACGGTGAACTGGACGATGAAGAGTGAGTGTACAGAAGAAGGAAGCAGCCAACGTGGCGCCTTATTATTGCAGCTGTGTGGAGCAGATTTAAACTGTGATRAAAAGGCACAAGCAGCTAAATCACACATTCATAAGGAGTGAGATGGTTCAAAGCCACTCAGGTCAGAAGAAACACACAGACACCAGGCGACGGAGGCAGCATTTATGTAAAGTTTCACAAACTCAACTTTATTGACCAAAACTGACAAAAAAAAAAGACCCAGGTGTGTATTGGTCCACTACAAGTGAGAGGTTATTGTCCAAGATCCATACTTTGAGCTTCTGAAGCGGTTATAGTGAATTAAAAACACAGCCTCCTTTTAGTCAGTGATCATGCACAAACAGTTCAAACACACGGTGGACTTTCCAAACAAACAAAACGTAAAAGAAAAATGCATGTTGTTATAATTTAATTCATTAATGAATTCGTATTACACTCGCATGAACAATAGCCAACAGGTTAGTGGAGTGAAGTTCATGTTAAAAACATCAAGGTGAGGTGGTTAAGCTTCTCATTCACTTGTTAAACTGGTCAAAAAAAATGTCATGCTTAAGTCAAATGTACAACTTTTCCTGCCACAACACAACAATATAACACCCTAAATGGGAAATAAAATATATATAACCTATAGCTAACTTTGTGCATATGGCAGAAAAGTACAATATTTATATATTTGGAAACAAAAAACAAACAAAACAACACAAATCTCTGCAAA